TCTGTATTTACAAGAAAACAAAGAAAAAAAAGCCGAAGCCCCAGAGAGCCCGTACGGATCCGACAAGAAACTGGCCCTCGGAGTTGGCGGCATTTGGTCAGGTGGCCTCCTCCCCCTAGACCCCCTACCGCACCTTGGGTACCAAGCCTTCGCCAAAAAAGGAAAAATAATGAAAGCGAAAGGAAATTTTTAAAGGTTGATACTTCCTCTGTTACTCGTCCTGGGTCTATTGGCAGATTTTTTAAAAAGGATTGCGGGGTCTGTGTGGGGGGTTGTTTTGATTCGCAGGGTTCTTTCAGTAATGTTGTGTATACGTGTGTGATCAGTCTCTTAAATAGGGTTTTGTTCGGTGTTTTGTTTCTGATTTTAAACGTACCATTCGTTAAAATTGGAAGAGAGCGCGCTGTGGCCGGCTGTGTGGTGGACTGCGGAGGAGGAGGGAGATAAGGAGCTGGTGGTCGGGTTGTCTGTGGAGGGAGACACGATGGTGGGAGGCGTGGAGGATTCGTAGCCGGAGCTGGCGGCCGGCGAAGGCTGCGAGCCCTGCGAGGAGGATTCGTGGACCTGCAGGAATAAAGTCGCGTTTTTACGGACATAAAGAGCCAGTGTGGCGGCCGCCTAGAGTGGCGACTGCCGCGAGTGCCCTTCCTCCTGGACCTCTTGGAGCCCCCTGAACACAGGCGAGGCCCGATCAGCGGGACCTTGGGCTTGGTGCCCTTTCACAGGCCTGCAGACACCGTGCTCCCGGGAAAGTCAGCGTCCCCAAGACTCACAAAAGAAAAATAGGTCTCGGAAGGGGGAGCGTGGATTTGAGGCTAGAGACTGTACTTTCTTTCCCTGAACTTTGCTTGCCCGTGTTTAGGTGAGCCGGAGCTCAGGCCTGGGCGCAGGAGTCCAGCTCTCGAGTCTCACCGGCCAGCAGCAAGGGCCGCAGTTTCCGCAGCGTCAACCCCCAGCAAAAGCCCTAGCTCCAGGCCAAATTCAGTGGCGGCCTTTGCTCATACTCGCCTCTTTTAACTTTTATTATGAAATCAAGAATTTAAAACGGCCTTGGGCACTCCCATCCCCTTTTCCAGGTCCCGCCCTACCCTCTCTGCCCAGCTCCACTGAGTGGAACCTTTGCCTTCCCGCTTCCTCTGGCTCCCGCCACCGCCTGGCTGCCACTCGCCGCTCGACCCCAAGCCGAGAGCCAAGAGAGCTCCTGCCTCAAAGGGGACGACGAGAGCGCGGCGATTACCTTCATGTGTTTGCGCAGCGAACTGGGATGCGTGTAGGACTTGTCGCACATCTTGCAAAGATAGGGCTTGTCGCTCGTGTGCACGTGCATGTGCTTCTTGCGGTCGCTGCTGTTAGCGAAGCGCCGGTCACAGCCCTCAAACTCGCACTTGAAGGGCTTCTCCCCTGGTGCGAAAGTAGAATGAGAGGGGTCTAATTAGAAAAAAATCCCGCGGCCGTTTTTCAAAAACTAAACAAATGTAAAAAAATTTAAAAAAAAAAAAAAAAGCCAGCAGCCCAGGATTAGCGCTTTTTGCAAGTTTAAAAACCCGGAACGTCAATAAATTCTTATATCTGCAGTTGAATTATAAATATTTTAACTCTATTTTAATCCCTAATACAATTAGATCTACATTTTATTTTTAGGTTTAAAAAAAAAATAGGAGGAGGAGGAGTCAGTTTTTAGCATCAGGTCTGGAAACTCGTATTACCCAGAGTTATATACACAATTTCGAATTGCTTCCACCTGGCTCCCGATTTCTAGTTTTCACGTTTGCGGCTTATTCTCCTGCCCTATTGCTTTTCTCTCCTCCCCCTGCCCCCTCCCCGACGCTCCGCATCCCCTCGTCGCCTCCTCCAACCCACCCCACTCCCTACATACACTCGCATTTTAGAGCGTAATCTGGGCCGTAGAGAACTCAACGCCACAAATTCTTCCCTGACTCGGGCGTTAAACCCGAAGTCCCAAGCACGGTTCTCAGACCTCACCCGGGAAAATCAGAATAGGAAAGCAGACCCAATTCCTGGCCTCGTGGGGGCAGGGGGCCCAGAATGTTTTGCCTGATGCCAGGCTACAACCCTGAGCTCGCGGGAACTTTTTTTTTTTTTTTTTTTTTTAACTGTTCCGGACTTGTGTCTTAATTATTTTTAAAGGCCAAAACGGGGAATCTGGTGTTTTGAAAACCACCCTCACGGAGTCTAACAGACAAAAAGGTCTTCCTTGCCTTCCTTGGACTTTCTCCACCCCTCAAGCCCACTCTTAAAACTAGTCACTACTAAAACTGAACTCTTCAAATGTGCATAAATCTCCAAAAGTCTCCGTAATCCCAAATTATTTCCTTTCCCCACTCTGTCTCAATTCTTTCTTTCTCTATTTTGTTTCTTTCTACGCCCTTAATCCGGCCTCCTCAATTTCCTCAGCTCATTCCTTTGGCAAAGTCCTCAGTGAAGTGCACGGAGAGAAATGTTGGCAGCAAGCAAGCGTTTAGATTTGTCTGCAGCCTGAGCAGCTGGCGCCTCCGCAGCTGCCCGGAGCCAGCCACTTTCCCCGGCTTCGAAAGTACCAAGGTCTCCGCCAAACCAGGTTTGGCTTCCTGTTCTCCGACCTTTTATGTTTCTCATTTTAAAAATCTGTATCCCCAGATCCTTCTCGTCCGCCCTCTGTGTGGTTTTATATATATATCATAGATATATATATATATGATCATAGAGATATATATATATATGATTTTTTGTTTCCGTAATTTCAAGCCCCAAACTAAAAATCAGCGCACAATTTCCCTGCCTGCCTGCCGGAACCTGACGCCCGGGATCCCACCGAGGCTGCGTTTGTGCGACCTGGCCGCTGACTTTCGGTTTGGGTCCCAGGCCCAAGTGGGAATGGGTAGGGGTCCTGCAGCTGTTTCCGTACCTGTGTGCGTCCTTTTGTGGATCTTTAAGTTCTCGGAGCGCGCGAAGACCTTGCCACAGCCAGGGAAGGGGCAGGGAAAGGGCTTCTCCCCCGTGTGCACGCGGATGTGGTTAACCAGTTTGTATTTGGCTTTGAAGGGCTTGCCCTCGCGCGGACACTCCTCCCAGAAGCAGATGTGATTACTCTGCTCCGGGCCACCTACGTGCTCCACGGTGACGTGCGTGACTAGCTCGTGCATGGTGCTAAAAGTTTTGTTGCACGACTTTTTGGGGTTGGCCAGCTGCTCGGGCTCGATCCACTTGCAGATGAGCTCTTGCTTGATGGGTTGGCGCATGTAGCGGAAGAAGGCGCCGGCGCCGTGATGCGCGGCCATGTTCACGTTCATGGGCCCGTAGCCGTGCAGCTGCGGCGCAGCATAGTGCTCGGAACGCGGGCTGGTCACCTGGCCGTACTGCTCCGGTCGCGGGTACATGTCCCCCGAGAAGCCGAGCCTCATCTGCCCGTTGACCACGTTAGGCGACGCGTGGCCGGCAGCCTGCTCATGAAGCCCGGGGAAGAGGAGGTGGCCCGCGGCGTCCGTGTGGCCGTGTGGGCCCCCGAAGCCCCCGGCCGATGCAGCAAAGAGGCTGTGCTGTGCGCTGGCTGCCGCCGCCGCGTCGCCAAAACCCCGGTTGCGGAACAGAAAGTCCCGCGTGGAGTTGAAGGCTGCGCTGGAATAGGAGCCGACGTGGCCCGGGTGATGGTGATGGCCCAGGGCCGCAGCAGCCGCGTAACCTGGCGCCTGCGACGTGAAGGCTGTCTGGCCGGCCGAAGCCAGCTCGTGCGAACTAGGGTTGAGCTTGAAGGCGCCCATGCCGTCGGCGAACGGGTTGATGCCCAGGCCCACGTCTCGTTCGGCCACGTCGCCCGCGGAGTGGTGGCGGGACGCGCCAAAGGTGGTCACGCCGATCGCTGGGTACTGGGGGCCGGCGTCCAGGAGCATCGTGGCTGCTCCGGGCGAGCCCCGGCCTCCCCCGCCCCCCCCACCCTCGCCAGCCGAGGAGGGAAAATCGGGAGGAGGAGGAGGAGGAACAAGAGGAGGAGGAAGAAGAGGTAGAAGAGGAGGAGGGAGGGGGAGTCGACCCACCTCGCGAAGTCCTAGCCTGCAGGCAACGGCGCGGCGCGCCCGGGCGTTGGCCCGGCCAAACGCAAAGTAGCCGGACGGCTGCGGGCCGCGAGTAAGACAGGCTCCAGCGCCCGCCAGGCAGACCCTGCCGGCCCGGCTCGCACTTTCTCGCCGCTTAGTCTCTGCCGGGAGGGCCGCGCGTCAAGGCTGCCCGGGGAAAGGCATGGAGCATCTCAGCCCCCCAAAAAAACTTCCTCCTGGATTTGTAGCATAGAGGAATGTGAGCGCCAGAGCCGCGACAGCTTCACTCTCTCTCCGCCTCGCGCCGCGCGCCCCTCCTCACTTCTCCACTAGCCCCTCGCTCTTTCTTTTCTCTCTCTCTCCTTTCTCTCACGCTCGCCTCCTCGCTCCTTCACTCTCCTTTTTTCCCTCTCTGCTTTTTGCAAAAAAAAAAAAAAAAAAAAAAAAAAAGTGGGTGGGGGGAGAAGAAAGAAAGAAAAAGCCAAAGAAAAGGCGCAAATCATGCACAATATTGTCTTTTGCGGTTTATCTTCCTGGGGAGAAACTTTCACCTCCTCAGCCGGGCGGTGAGCGCGAGACTGATAGCAGCAATCATTCCTGCAGATAAATGAATTGAAAGGACGACACCGTCCCCCCCTTGATGAATGGGAGCAGGGGGAGGTGTCACGTGCTGCCGACGCTGGCGCCCATTGGTGCGTTTGCACTCCCCCCGCCCGCAGCTGCCGCGCCAACGGAGGGCGCGCCGAGGCGCCGCGCGCAGCTCATTGGCCCGCCCGCCTCATCAATCCCAGGTATTGTAAAGCGCTTGACATCCCCTTTTGACAAACCAGGGCTGCCAGGAGTAGCAACTTTTTTTTTAGCCAAATTTTTTCCCTCTTCTCACGGAAATTTTTTTTTCTTTTCTTTTCTTTTGTTCTTTTTTCTTTTCTTTTCTTTCTGGTTTTTTTTTTTTTTTTTTTTTTTTTTGCCACGATTTCTTTTCCTTCTCACAGTCATATACATTCCTCCTTCTCCCTTGCCCCCACCACCCCCGCGCGGCCCTTCCCGAAACCTACTCTTCGCTGAGCGATTAGAGATTTCGGACGTCTCCGGGTGCAGGAGGCGGGGATGGGGCTGGTAAACACAGCAAAGGCACTTCCAGAATGTCCCGATTCAGCAACTTTCTTTTCTTTCTTCCCCCTTCCCCCCCGCTTCAAGGGCAGCAAAAGAGGCTTTTGTTATTTGCTCCTTTTGAAGTTTGTTTCCCTCTTGCTTGGTCCCCCTCCTGTTTATAATTTAAGATCTTGGGAGCACACGGGCACTATGCTCTCTTTACAAGAAATGTAATTTCTCAGTGTAACCGGTAGCCTCTGTATTTCTCGCTTTTATCTAATCAGACTTCCTGCACCACCGCACCCCCTCCCAAAACACACACACACACACACACTCACATTCACACACACAGGTGGATGAACGCTTAAGTTCCCAGGTTATTGAGGTTTGAGTTTTTTAATGGCAAATTTGAAGTGTTGTTGTTAGTTTCCTTTACTTTTTCCCTGTCTTGCATTATTTTTCTCTTTTCTCCCTTTCCGTTGTCTCCTTCGACTGCCCCCGCTAAACCTGTCTCTCCTCACTCCTGTTCCCTACTTGGGCCCCTTTCATTCAGGTAAAACTGTAAATTTCCCAATGCGCCATTGTTCCCTTGGGCTGCCCAAAGCTCCCTAGAGATCCCCGAATACTTTTTTGGTATTTAAATCCCCAGTAGATAGGACCAATGTAAATTTTGTGACATTCAAACCTTTTCTAGTTCACAAATCAGTCACCCTTGTCACAGTTATTGAAATTCCGCAACTCGCCACACCAGGACGGTGGAAAAAGCGGGCGCGGTCTTTGTTGCCGACCAGGCTTTTGATCGCCAGAGAAAATTTACTTACCTTCAGATGAGTGAGCAGAAAAAGAAATAACACTCCCTTTGATTTAGTTAGGAAAATGCAGACATTTGGATTCAGTGCAAACATACAACACTCGCTTGTTTTCGCGATGCGGCCCTCGATTAACCTGTCTTTGCCTAGCGCAAAGTCTATTCAACAACTGCGCGTAGTTTCTTTTTGTCCCTTCCACAAAGAGCCATTGACTATATATTAAAATGATTGTTGAAAGGTAAGGGAGTATGGTACTTAAAAGCAGGAAAAAAAAAAATCCCTGTGACTCAATCAATTAAGCCGAGCAACATTTATGCATTTCAAAAAATGCACGCGGATGCGGGGGGTTGTGGGGATGAAGGTTGCATTTCTCCGCAGCTCTGTTTAAAACCCAACAGTCCTGGCCGAGGGTTTAGCTGAAGCATCTGCATATTCATTAGGTCTAATTATTTTCTAGTAAGGAAAACACAAAAAGCCAAGAGTCGGAATCCTTCAATTTACCCTTTGTTTCTAACTTCATTTGGCTTCTTTGCAGCTGAATCAAAGCCCTAAACTCTTTTTCCAGACAAAGAAACCTCAACTCATCCTTTCACAGGCGGCCCGGTTAGGAAACTCACCAGTGCCCCAGCGAGAGGAAAATGAAAATGAATATATTTTTTGCCCTGACGCCAGCGCTGACTGCACCGGCTGGAGGAAGGCAGGGTCAGCGTCCGCCGCTCCTCGCCTTTCTGGTTTTCTGGTCTTCTCACCGACTAGATTCTCGCTTGGGGCTGGCCGGCCGGACTGCCCTTTCCATGGGCTGTGCTTGCTCAAAAGTCGGCTTGGGTATCCGAGATGATTTCCCGGTGCCTGAAGGGACCTGACTGAGCATTTGTGCTTGTGCTGGGAAATAGAAATTCGAGGACCAAAAAAATTGTCCTGTTGCCATCAACAAGTCTGAGTCTAGCAGCCCAGCATTTCCCACCAACTTTGAGTGGAATGGAATGAGGAGTGGAGGTAAGGAAAGGACTGAGGCATTTTTAAAAATTATTATACACTTCGTTAGAAAAAAAAAAAAAAAGATATATCGGAGCAACTAAGTCTTTCTACCTACAAGGGGAAGTTGGATCCTACTTCCCCTGGAGTTGAGAAAACCTCATCTGCAAGAAGTTTTCTCTAGAGGCTGTATTCCTCTCACTAGGGAGAACAGATATTGAACCCACCTCGCCCGCCTTTCAGGAAACACACACGCGCGCGCGCACACACACACACACACAACAAGGGAGGGGACCTAAGGGGGAAGGGTAGCTGTTGGGAGGGGGAGAGGGAAAATAATTCTTCAAAAAAGAAAAGTCAGTCTTCTCCTCTCCAGTCTGTGGAAAATCCAATGGGGACGTTTACAAGAGGATATTTTTAGGAAACACATCCAAATACACAGGGGTAAGAGTGAATGTGAGGAAAAAAAAAAAAAAAAAAAGTTGTGGGTTGTAGAAGTTATCAAGTGGGATTTGCGGCGCTCTCTGCAGGAAACGCGAGCGGCTCCAGTTCAAAGCCACATGCACCAACGTGACATATAAGCCATTAAAATATCATCCTGACGGCTCATTTCTGCTTCATCATACATTCCCTAACTGCTTCCCGAAAGCTGGAAAAGGAGAAATGAAGGATGACCGCCTCGCTGGAACCACAAAAGAGAGGCTTGGAGGGGTTTGTGGTCCCCTCTCAGCCACCCCGAAATGATGTGCAGAAATGAGGCGATCCTGGCAACAGGTGGAGTGGGGTAAGTGCGTGAGTCCAGGGGGCAGACAGATGAGACCTGTACCTCCAGCGATCGGGTAGCAAGTGCCCTCAAGCGGGCCACTGGCACCCAAACCCCAGTGGGGGAAGAGGCCCAGCCAGTCTTTCTGCCCCATCTCCTCCTTCATCCCCCCCCCCCACAACCGTGGATACAGGCCCCACCCCACTGACAATGAGGGGAGGAGGGGGGCCCTTCTGCAAAGGGGCAGCGCCCAGGATGAGTCCATCCCTTCTTCCCAGGAGGAGGGAAAAGGGGGACAAATGGGGCTCCCACTGGTACAGGAACCAGGAGCAGTTTGTTGCCTGCCTGTCTTCCCTTCTCTCCTTGTAAATTGCCTGGGTGCCCCACCGTGGGCACAAGAATGGAAGTCGTGGCCCAGAGCTTCCCTCGCGAAAAAAGAACAAGGCGGGTGCCGGGAGGGGGGCTTTACAGGCGGTATCTCTGCTCTGTCCCCAAGGGGATGGCTAGGAGGGTCTCTGCTTCCCCTCTCCAGGGTCAAAGAGCCAAGTTAGCCCAGATGGCAGCAAGACGACGGAACTTCTCCGCCCCAACCTGACGGCAGATGCCGCCTGAGTCCACCTCCGGGCGGCTCCTAGCCCTCCCTCCTCCTGGTCCTGCCTCAGGAAGCTGACTGCTGGGATCTGCTCTCTGCGCGCGGCCAGCAGTGGGTTCGGGACTTGGCTTTCTTTATCTCCAATGCGAACAAGAGCAGCAACTAGCTCTCTGGCGAGCAGGCCGCAGCTCCTAGGATTCTGGCCCCTAGCCTAGGCCCAGGGACATTGGAAATTAGGGGCAAGTGAGGAGGGAACAGAGCTGAGCTGTGAAAGAAAGCTAGGACTGGCTCAAAGGTTGGACCTGAAAGTTGGGGCTGATGGATGGCCCATGGCAAAGTCTTAGGAAAGCGGGGGGGCTTTGGAGGGTTGCGCTTCGACCGTCACCGTCTTCAGGAAACTCTCTTTGGATTCCAAGGTTATGTTTTCCCCGCTTTCCGACAGTATTGGCCTGGCAGCGATCCACAGCACTGCACGCCGCTCTTTTTTCTCCTATCTTACCCGCCTGCAGGTTGGGGGAGGGGTGATTCAAAAGGAGGGCTAAATGCTGAGCCTGATCCTGCAGGTGATCTACTGATACAAACTCTATTCTGGGCACCCGGAGGCTGCCCACACTTACTTCAGCCCCGAGCTGGGAAACCCAAGCTTCTCCCTCTAGAGAATAGGAGAATGAGGAAAAGCCCCTGCACAATCCAGTCTCAGCAAACTCCTGGCGGTTGAGGGTCGAATGGAGAGAAGCCAGGAAGGTGCGGGGTGCAGATGGGGAAATCAGGCAGCGGGCAAAGGCCGAGGTCAGTTTCCTCTCTGGCTCGGAGCTCCCAGCCAGCTTTCAGGGTTTTTGCTCTGCGCCCGCCAGCGACAAGTTACAGCGGAGAGGTGGGCATGCCTTTCCCGCTGCCGGCTAATCAGTAAGCAGCAGCTCGGGAACTGAAGTCTCTAACTGCAGCTGACCTCTGACCTTGGGTAGTCCTGCGCCGGCTAGGTCGGTCCCACAACTTGCAGCTTCCGAAGCTCCCCCAAATAAAAATGGTGCTTTTTGCACCTACCCACTGTCCCACCTTTTTGGCTTTCCTCTGGCACTATCAATCACTGGAGCTCCCTGGCACCAGTTCCTCTTCTCAAGGTGGGGGCAGAAGGGCAGATTCCAAAAAGTCTCCAGGATGTGCTATGGACTGGTAATTAGGAGGCCGTGGTTGATGTGGGGAGCAAGCCTTTGGGGAAAACGAAACTGAGTTTCTACATTCCGTGGTTGTTTGAGACCTCAGGTCCAGGGGCCTCAGGATTGCTCCCAAATTTTCTCACCTCTCCTTCAGCAAGATGACTGGCTTGTTTGCTAAGCGGTGTCAGAGTTTGCACGAAAGGAGATGTTTACCCTGGTTCCCTGTGTAGGCTGGGTGATGGAAATGCTACAGAGAGACTCCTAAGGTCCCAGTTGCCTGCCCTAGCCCGACCTCTGCAACATTTGTTTGCATGTCTATGGGTCTGCAGTGCACAAAAGGCTGACAAGACCTGCAGAAGTGATTCATACCTCTTAGAAGTTGGGTTGGAGCAGCCTTATGGGTGGACAGAGATCTCTAGGGAACCTCACACCCATTTCCCCCAGAAGCAAAAGAGTAAATTCTATTGTTGCCAACCAACCAGGACTTCTCCATGCCAGACATCCTGCCATGAGGAAATTTCAGAGCGAGGACGCCCAGCATGCCGCCCTTCTGTAGGAATGCAAAGTTAGGCCTCCTTTCTTTCCTGATTTGCACTGGAAGGAGCTTATTACCTTTGGGGAAGAATGCCTTTTGGTTAGAAATAATTGAAAATAATAATACCCTCTGGGAAAAGGTGAGTCTACCCCCCTGCCTCCCAGGCCTGGACCTAGAAAAGAGGGGAGATAGAAGGGTAAAAGCTGCCAAGCTAGTTGGAATTCTTGTTGGAGGTTGAGGGGGAGAAAGAGAGAGATCTTTGTGCACAGAGAACTGGATACCCTTTAAGATAACAGAGTCCCACTTGGATTTGGCCTGTGGTTCAACAAGTTGAACAACTGCTTGTTCTGTGGGCAGACATCCCCATTGACAGAGGACTTGCTGTGTTTGTCCAGCCTGAGACCTTTTCAATGACTGTTTTTCTTTCTAGGCCAAATTGAGGGTGGGGGCCGGGTAGATGATTCTGTTTGGCTGTTCAACTGCCTCAGCCTTGCCTGACAGATGCAGAGGTCCTCAGGATGGCTTTAAGTATTTAAGGCGGCCAATGGCTTGGTAGTTTTAACTGCAAAGTGAATCTGATACGTAATGTGTACATCTTATGGGAGGTGTTATTTCTACCCTTCTCAAATATGAAATGTGGATGATTTGAACCAAATGATTAAAATTATACCTTTTTAATCTGACAAATTTTGTATTAACTTTAAAAAGTCAACCGGTGATGAATCCCAAATGGGTCTGGGGTATGGGAAATGTGAGGCTAAGGAATTCTGCACCACCACAGGCAAAGCAGGATTTGAAAACCTGCAAAGAAATTCCTCTCTTCTTGGTTCCAACAGTTATAAATCAAATTTTAACTGCTAACCTCTCAGAGTTCAGTAGACTCTCCCCACCACACCTCACTAAATTTCAGTTAATAAACTTCAGAAAAATAGTAAGATTTCTTATACAATTAATTCAAATTCGAGAAGCTACAGATTTTTGAGCACTGACTAAAAGAGAGCTTACTTCTGATTGCAAGGCAGAACAATAAAGGAGTTTCAAATAAAAACCTAGCTGGGAAATTATAATTTTTCAATGTTTTTATCACCAAAGATATATTATTTTGCAAAATGGGCAGTTCCCGGCAGAATCCTTTTCTTTAGCTTCAAAATTTGAAAATGATCAAAGAAAGACCGAAGGATCTTCAGATCAACACCTTCTTTCGTTCACACATTCAAGCCACAGAATGTTGCCACACAGATATATAAAATTGTTTAACTAGTGACTGTCACTCTTTTCTTCCCAAACAGGCTCAAAGTCAGAAAATGAGATACAAGACATCCTTGGTGATGAGGAAACGATTACGGCTTTACCGAAACACTCTGAAAGAGTCAAGTAAGTTAAAATCCTCCTTTGAATATTGGTTTGCTAGTTTCTTTTCTTCTTCTTTCTTTTCTTCTTCTTCTTCTTTTTTTTTTTTTTTTAAGTAGGAAGTTTTGTTTTGTCTTTCGTTTATGTTGGGTTGAGAGTTTGGGTGGAGTTTCTTGAGTTCAAATGAAACTTAGAACACCTTGGTGTTCAATACTTTTGCACACAAATCAATGACACAACGTCCCACCAGCAGCCGGTTAATCCCCCTCAATGCCTACTCATCTGGACGTTCCAGAATTAATATTTGACGATTCTCTCATTGAAACAACCACCCCTGACCTTCTGCAATTCCACTGTCACGTTATTCTATGACATATTCATCTTGAATTCATTTCCAGACAATTTGATTGGAATGAGGTTTGACATGTATTGGCTTCCATGAAAGAAGCAGACTTTGATCTGGATGATGGGGTTTACATGATATACATCATCTTTACCAGGGATACCAGCCTTGTGCAATGTGGTAGCGGCGAGCTTCCCACAATGTGGTGTCTGACCAGGGAGTGACTGACAGCTGCTCTGTCAGGAATACCTTCATTGTGAAGAATTTAATTTAATATTCCATTTAGAATAAGCATATGATTTAGGGTTGGGTGTTTTCCCTTCCAGGCGTCTAGTTTTCCTCATTTCAACTATATCACTAGCTGATGGTTGCCTCCAAAGATGTTCCCTCATTGGTAGGCAAAGGAACCTTCTTAACCAAAGTCAAATAGACAACTCAGGAAATGGCTCTCTATATTATTTGGGGATGATTTGATGGCAAAAGTCTCAAGAGAGGTATGAATTATTATGTAAATTCAGTTGTTTCGATTCCTTAATGCTGTTTTGGAAGATCCAAAAGCAATGTTTCCTAAGCTTTTGTCACAGGATGCTTTGTAGAATCCTTGCTTGGAAATTAAAGCCAATCCAAGCATATTTTCTTCCATACTCAGTTCCATTAATGATGTTTAAAACTCAAATTTCCATAGCAGAGGAGAAGAATATCCTCCTTTATTGCCAAAATCCTAATAGATCTCATCTCCTTTGCACAATTTGGGCTTAGAAATATGGATGGGCTCCTGGGGCTTAAGTTATTTCTTTGCATAAAAATAGAGACAACCTCCCTCTGTAGGAATCTTGAAGTCTGTCTGTGACTAGCCTTTAAAGAAATTTACCTCTGTTTAGGATTGCAACTGGACAGAAACAGGGAAGAAAGAACTGAACAAGTGACAATTGATTCAGATGCAGAACATTTAAATGACAAGACTTGTTTCTAGCCAGGTTCTATACAGTGGCCCTCAGCTGAGTAAGGCCCAGCTGCTGATCTGGGCATAACTTATAACTAATAATTATCATTTAATTTAGCATTGCTTAAAACATTAAAATGGAAAAATAGCTGAGCTGTTGATTTGAAATATCCTCCTTTTTTTTTTTTGTCCTTTGCAAGAGAGTGAGATCAGACATTCAAACCAGCGATTTAAGGAGCTCTGGCAGATGCTAGGGCCACCGAAAGTTCTATTTCTAGAAAGTAGAACTAGGAAATCACTTGTTTATGCTATTATATTTGTCTGGGTAGGGTGAGCAAAAGTGCTTAGGGCATGATTCTGGGCACTGGTTTGCAGAGGCTCTGAAGATTGAGAGATACCTGGGGTCTAGTGATGGAATACGCTCCAAATAGGTCCCCATGAAAACAGGCTCCCAGTGCTTCATTTTGACATCTGCTAAAGATCTGTGGGTTGTGAGATATTCTTTTTCTCTACAAATGAAGCAGAAAAGTAGACTTAACAATGCTATAGCTCCAGGCATGGGTAGGAATAGAATGTGTCAGTCAAGCATTTGGTGTTGGGGACATGTATAGTGAGATGTTTCTGGAAAAAAAAAAAATCTGAAGACCACTGAGGAGACACCATTCCTTAGCCTGCTCAATTGATAATATCTGTAGCCTGGGTTCCTTGCTTCCCAGGCTCTGGAAGACTCAAAATAATCTCTCTAAAGACTACACTACGCCTCTCAGATGTTGATGCCCTATCACCTTTAACTGGATACTGCTTTGGGGCTTATTTCAAAGATAGAACTTGAAGACCCTTATGTAATTGCCCAAAGTTCCTTGTCTGTAAATATTAGTTGTACAATTGGTTTTCCCTTATTGCTGTCTCTGGGGAAATGCCCTTCTAGGAGAATGTCTGGTCCCATTGCTGGGTTTAGCCAACCAAGATATAGACCATATGCCTCTAAGGAACTTCCAAAGATCAGGCAACCTCAGTGACCTGCAGGCCTACTGACCCCTGGCTACTCAAGCAAGAAGCAGCTACCCAAAATAGGTCCAGATGTTTTCAGCTTTCTAGAGAAGGCTGCATCTGGGAAGGAGCTCCATGGGGCCAGCCTACTCTCCATGATTTTGACTGAATCAGATATGTTTGCCCTTTTGCTACTGGCACAAAAAAGTCATACACAAGTTCAAAGCTTTTCAAAGGCAAAGTGACTAACAGAGAGTGTGTAGTATGCTAGCAGACTATGTGTATAAAACCCCTGTTTCTTATCCCTGGAGTCCAGAGAGTCAGTGGTTAGAACTCCAGAGGGCCCATAAACTTGAATGAGAAAAAGACGCATCTTTATTTTCACAACCTTCTATTAGAAAGTTAGTGTTTTCTTCTATGATGAATATGTGCAGCAAATACTGGACTATTAGGAGTTCAACAGACTCACCAAGCTTCCTAAGGGTTCCACAGCCTCAAACAACTAAAATCCCTTCTTCTCCTGTCTGTCCATACTGTTATTCAAAGCTTTTGATGGAGGTGGGGTCACAGTGTATATATTAAGAAATCCGGTGGGTGCAGTGGCTCACACCTGTAATCCCAGCACTTTGGGAGGCCGAAGCTGGCAGATCACGTGAGGTCAAGAGTTCAAGACCAGCCTGGCTAACATAGTGAAACCCCATGTCTACTAAAAATACAAAAATTAGCTGGGCATGATGTTGGGTGCCTGTAATCCCAGCTACTTGGGAGGCTGAGGTGGAAGAATCACTTGAACCTGGGAGGCAGAGGTTGCAGTGAGCCGAGATCACGCCATTGCACTGCAGCCTGGGTGACAGAGCGAGACTCTCTAGAAAGAAAGAAAGAAAGAAAGAAAGAAAGAAAGAAAGAAAGAAAGAAAGAAAGAAAGAAAGAAAGAAAGAAAGAAAGAAAGAAAGAAATCCATGTTTGTGCAAATCAGAGTCTTAAAGCTAAAGTGAATGAGTTTGACAAACATTCTGAACTGTTAGTTGTAGATTACCTAGGTTCCAGGGAAGAAAAAATATTTTAATTGCCAGACGATTGCAGAAGTGCCCCTGCACTTAAACCTAAATACCACAGAAGCTGAATACATTCGGTGTTAAGATGTGGATAGTAAAAACAGCTGGGCAAGGAGTTTCAGAGAAGAACACACTCTGGCCTTTGTTTTGCTTTTCGGAGCCCTTCATGGGTTCAGTCCAGAGTTGCCTAGACAATTGCATCTTTCAACATACACCTGTGAGGTGGGGAGATGTGAAATGACTCATTGAGATGTGGAAACCTTTCGCTGGAAACCTGGCCACACCACTGCTTGGTTGAAGGGAAGACGGGGGAAGGATCAGAGAGTTGGTGGCTGTTGGTGGAGGAGTAAACCATGAGAGAAGGTGAAAGCCAGGGAGGCATATTCTGAGAGTCTGGTCTCAAAACTGCTGTGTGGAAGCCCTTGGTTTTGAGAGTAGGGAGTGGGGGTCTGGCAGTCAAATACACTTCTGTTTTTTGTTTTGTTTTGTTTTTAATACTGACAGAGTATCTATTGGTAGAGTTATCCAAGCTCTTCCTGTAGGAGGAGCAGAAAGACTTGGACGTGTCTAAGTGGAGAGAAATTGTTGTGGAAGTTAATCCCTCCCTAAAGTGCACCCAGGGGAGGAACAATGTATTAAATGAAGGTCTCAAAGAATCTGCCAAGTGTTATACATCAGTTAATTATTTAAAAAAAAAAATTTTTTTAACCCTTATTTACAGACCAGGAAATGTAAAAGAATAGTCCTTGGTGCTGGGGATAGGGGGAGGGGCAATTCATTTCATTTCTATTCAGCGTTGCTGGTAATCTGCCGGAACTTCTAGCCTCTGCTAAGGGGTATGGGATATTTTACTCACTCTTTAAAACTTTTCTTAAAAATACAAGCCTTTCTCTGTTTGGGGGGCACTATTTATGGCCGCCAGGGAAGTCCAAGCACTTAGGCTGGCATTTTCGGCTGCAGCGACAAGGTAGGAGTCCCGGCCAGCAGCCCTTTAAATCCCCGGACGATGCAGCTGACCTTAGCCGGTCCGCTCAGACAAAGGACTCCCTCCTGCCCCCAAAGCCCCCCAATCCCCCGCCTCTCGGCTTTTGCCACACTTGACTGGGCCAGAACTTAAGTTTTTTTCAATCGATCGACCCCCATCGCACCAAAGTGGCCCCCCTAGCACTGGAGGGCATCTTGTGGGAGGCAGTCTGCAGGCCCTCTCAGAGCCTGGACGGGGAAACGCGGCGTGCACTCTCTAGAGAGGCCTAAGACGAGCTAGGAGGAAGCAGAGGAAGCTTGGGCCGCAGGCAACAAGTAGCCGAAGCTGAAAGTGGAAGTCACCCTTAAATCCCCTTTCCCAGAGGCTCCTTACGACTGCAGGGTATAGCGCTCAGCATCCCTGATTGGCCCAGGGAGATCCCGGAGCGAAAACCTGTTTCTCCTGGATGCACGCCCGACTCCTTTGTTTCTTTGGAAAGCTGGCCCGCCGGTGGGTGTGACTTATGGCTGGGCGGGTCCTTTCAGGAAGGCATGGGTTCGAGCCCAGCCTTTCCAGGCCGTCACCACTTCCCGCTTAATCCTGTTCCTGGTAAGGGCCAGATCCTTGGGTTTCGCGCGTCTTTGAGCTCTCCAACACCGGGGAGGAGGGGCCTGCAAGGCTAAATGGGAAGGGAGTATAGAGGAAAGAGAGGGGGAGGGGAGAAGCAAGGAAGACAAAGTGAGGTAGAGGGTTTGGGGAAAATAAGAGAGACGAAAAGAACCCGAAAGATGAGGGAAACGAGACATTTCGGAGAAAGCCAAAAAATAAAATTAGGCTCAACGACTGCTAGCCTAGGAGTTTCTCACCTCCTGGCCCCCGAGTCAGCAGTTTCCTTTGGTCCTTCGATCCCGACCCCCTACTCTTGCAGTCTACAGGGACAAACTGCCCAACCAGACTGCCATCTCTGCGCACACTATGCTAGCCATCAGCCCCGACTGAGGTCCCGAGAGGACTTTAGGCGCAGCGCAATGCTCCCTCCCCAAAGTTGTGGTGAAGGGTGGCATAACCCAGTCCCGAGTACTTCCAGGAGCCCTGAGTCAAAACTGATGCACTCAGCTTTCCGGAGAGGAGGGGGAGGAGGCTCAAGGGGAGAGAAAAGGATTTGTGCCCAGGTCAGAGCGCATGAGCAGTAGAAGCGTGAGATGCTGTGGGGGTGGGGTGAGGGAGGGAAGAAGGGTGTGTGTTTGAGGGAGAGGTATGTGAGGGGGTTGGGGGTGGAGCGAGGAAGTGAGAGAGAGAGAGACCGACCGCGTGCGGCAGGACCTGTCATCACTGACGTAGGACCCGGCCGCTGGCCAATGGGCGACCCAGGCAATTGTTCCTCTCTGTGGGTCCCGGCCACAGCCCTGAATCTCTATTGACTTTCTAACGCGCCCTGCTGCTACTTCTGTAGTGTGCAGGATTTCGCGTAGGCATTAATAGCCAAGGGGGTAGGCGCGCCCAAATCCAAACCTTGAGAAGAAGGAGAGAAAGAAAGAAAGAAAGAAAAAAAAAACTTTACAGAAGTTTTTTTGTGTGGTTTTCCTTTCTCCTCCCCACTGTCAGGTGGCAGTGGTGTTAGTGGCCCGGTACAGGGAGCTCCGGGGAACCTGGGCCGGCATGCAGCCGGTCGCTCTCTCCTAGCCAAGCGGGGCACTGAAAATATATATGGCTGGGGCGCTTCCGAACCACCACCACCTCCAACACCATCATTTCTATCACCTCCACTCCCCAGCAGGGCACCGTGCCCCGGAGCGCCCCGGGGTGTTGGCCGCCAAAGTGCGCTTGGGTCTCAGGTCCTACCCCTCTGGAGCAGAACCCCCAGCAACCCACAGACTCAGCCCTGCGCCTTCCATTACCCCTTACATCTACTGTGCCGCTACCATCCCTCTCCAGCTCATGGCACCGCAGGGGACCTGGCCGAACAGCAATCCGGTCCAACGGCGGCAGAGGTGTTTGGCCTTGCTCTGTCCACCGGGTTCACTGCTGGCGCGGTCTGGCTCTGAGTTCCACGGCTGACTGCAGAGTCCGTAGTGCGTCTGGGCTGGGCCTGCCCCCCGGGGCCCAGGGAAGAGCGCGCAGCCCACCCCACCGGTTCTCATGCGTGCTATTTGTTTCGACAACAGGTAGCAGCTCTGGACACCATGGCCCCCAGCTCACCGTCGCCTCCAGCCCCTCGGTGTTCCCGGGACTCCATGAGGAGCCTCCCCAGGCTTCCCCCAGCCATCCTTTGAATGGACTCCTGCGTCTGGGGCTCCCTGGAGACATGTACGCGCGGCCAGAACCCTTCCCGCCAGGGCCTGCGGCCCGCAGCGACGCCCTGGCAGCTGCCGCAGCTCTGCATGGCTACGGGGGCATGAACCTGACGGTGAACCTCGCTGCGCCCCACGGTCCTGGCGCTTTCTTCCGCTACATGCGCCAGCCCATCAAACAGGAGCTCATCTGCAAATGGCTGGCGGCCGACGGCACCGCGCCCCCGAGCCTCTGCTCCAAAACTTTCAGCACCATGCACGAGCTGGTCACGCACGTCACCGTGGAGCACGTCGGCGGCCCGGAACAGGCCAACCACATTTGCTTCTGGGAGGAGTGTCCGCGCCAGGGCAAGCCCTTCAAAGCCAAATACAAACTTGTAAATCACATCCGCGTGCACACGGGCGAGAAGCCCTTCCCTTGTCCTTTCCCGGGGTGTGGGAAGGTCTTTGCTAGATCAGAAAATCTCAAAATACACAAACGAACTCACACAGGTCAGTATTCGGCGCTGTCTGTCGCGTGCGGACCCTCTGGGGAAGCAGGCCCTCGGGTCTGGATTTCCTCAAGTCCCAACTGAGGGGAGGGGGAAGATATTTTGGTGTTGTTACCATGAGCCAAGGCCATAAAATATTAATTATGCGCTTCTATTCTTAGAATCACAGAAGTTTCCGGAGGCTGTGTGTAGGGAGGATAGTGCGGGATTTCCGTTCTGGGGGGACAAGGGTGAACGTGCCTAAGACCCTGTGTGTGCAGACATGTGATCTCTGCTTAAGAGTTTGATTTTGAGATATTTAAAAACAGCATTGTTCCCCAAAGTCGTAAAGATATAAGAACAGCTGTCTAACTTTTTTCCTGGACCCTTTGGAATTGCGGGGCAGAACTCTTCCACCTGTCGTCCTGATAACCTGGCCCACCTGGTCTGAGGGTTTACCAGGCCCTGGAGCCTTCTTTAGGAGTTGGGAGTCGAATGGGCTAACTTTGTACCTATTTTTGAGCCTTGGTGGCCAGACACTAGGGATGTTTGGTGAACCCTCACTTTTGCTTTAGCACAGACCTAAGGGGACCTAGCCACCTTAAATATCATTTACCAAGTTGTTAAGGGAAATGGGGACATGTGTCAACTACATCTGCTATTTCTAGTTAACAGAAAAAAAGGAGTCCCGTTTAAGAGCCTGCAAAATTGAACTCCTCTGGCCAGAGCATCTCTAATTAATGCAACTGCAAGGAGAAAGTTTTCACACTTCCAGGATAGCCTGTGAAGTTACATTAATTAGTTTAGCAGCCATTGTTTGTACTCTCCTTAGTTAGGGTTTTCTCCCTCCTCCTCCCTGGAAGTTTAAGAAATCAACATCTTCTCCCCTCCCCCATTTTGGGGGCAGGAGAAGGGGACTAGTGGGGACAGGAGAAAATAAAATAAATTCCAGCTTGGTGCCCCACTTCTCCTACTGCCCGGTGCCTTGCCTTACTCGCCCCTATTCTTGCTGGAACGTCGACAATTGCTGGAGTCAAAGAACTGACTAAGGCTAGTTGTGCTAAAGCCTATCTTCTCCCCCAAACTCTCCCTTCCCGGGGAAGGTCCATGGCCCGGACACTGGCACACGCAGAGACCAGACCAAAGTCCACTTGGAACCTGGCACTTTATTTCTAAAGCGTGTCTGGAAGTGTACAGTTTCCCTGAGCTCTTTTCAGGGTTTCCCACAATGTCGCAAGGATCTCACCCCCTCACCCGAAGTTTTAGCTCCGGGAAGGGGCGGTAGGTCACTCTCGAATCCTGGTCCCAGGCCTGCTACTCCGGGAGCTGGCGGCGGACACCCGGAAGGTAGATTCGCAGTCCTGAGCTGGAGAAGGAACTCATCTTTAATGGCAGAGTTGTTGTTTTTTAAAACAAACAAACTTTTACAGCTCTTTGCCGGCCCACTGTTTGAAGTCTGTGAAGCAGAAAATGGTTAAATTCTTAGCACAGTCGACCTACAGCAGAGAAGCAAGTTCAGTGCGCCGCGGCTGGCTCAGGTTTTCGTCTTTTCAGGACAGAATTTTGTGCGTTCTTTCGGCTCCCCTGATTCATTCCCGGTGGGGGTGGTGGTGGAGAGAACAACAAAAACAAACAAACAAACAAAAACACACACTACCAACAACAAACTACAGAGTCTGGCCTGCTCGGGCATTTCCCTCAAATCCGCCTCCTAAGTAATAAAAAGAGGAGAGAGAGAGTGAAATAGAGAGAGAGAGAGAAAAAATGTTTCTCAAATGGCAATAGACCTCAGTACAAATTATTCATGAAGACAGTTCTCGATTCAACAGGAAAATAATTGCCTTTTCAAATATTAATGGCGTTTCATTTCCTCGAGTCGCAGAAGTGGCAAACAGGAGCAAATTTCTCAGGAGTTGAGATTCTCCCTGACCTGAATCCCAAGGCGACTGTCCGCACCGAAAGCATTCACTTTCCGGCGGTCACAGCGATCCCGGAACAATGGTGCTTCGAGGAGGGAGGCGAGGGCCAGCTACCGCGGTCTGCCTGGCCACCGCCACCCAGCTTCTCTCCTGGGACCCCTCGGCCGGGGCCGGGAGCTCGTCACACCTTCCCTGGCGTCTGAGGGCGAGTCAGTGCTGGGGATCCGAGGTAGAGGAGAAGAGACCGCGCCGGAGCGCAGTCGCCGGGACAACCAGATCCAGCCACAAGTGCGAGAAAATGGCGCTGGCCCAGCAGCCCCGAGCTTCCGAACTTTGTCCCGCGGACCCGGCGCAGGGTCGGAGAGGAGGCCTTTCCGGGCTGCGGAGCCTCTAGGATGACAATCTGGGTCTCTCACAGCTGAGCCCCAGGCCTAGCACGCTCCGAGCGGGCTGCAGGGGCCTAGCCCAGCGCTGCCTCTTCACATTCACCCACCCACCCAGGGCGCGGTGCAGGGAGCTGGAGGGAGGGGGAAGGACTGGAGGCCGGGAGTTGGCGGGGGGCGGGGGTGATGTCAAGCGCGGAGACCAGGGCGCCTCCTGCAGCTCCGGAGCAAGCTGGGGCGCAGCCTCACCTGGCCTCCTAGGGGCCTGCGAACTTCCCGGCTGCCGGTATCACTCATTGCACTGCTGTTTTCTCCTCTGCTCCTCGTCTGGAGTGAAATAATTGCTTTTGTTTTACGTGAATGTCCAGCGAGGCGCTCACGAGATCGGATAAGCGTTTGGCGGGATTTTTGTGGCGCGGGGGCGGGGAAGGGTTGTTGGGGAGGGACACCAACCTCAAATTCCATTTCACCTCTGTTTTCTCAAACTAACCTTGGTTTCTTTTGCAGGCCCTGAATTGTACGGGTTTTTTTGTAAGTTTTTTTTTTTTTTTTTTGAAAGAGAAGGAAGAAAGTTTTGGGTTTGCAAATGCTGGCAGGAATCAGAGGAGATAAAACGAGGGGCAAATAGGAACACTGATTTATTCCGCATCTTTCTCTCACTGTTTTATAAAATGGTGCCGGTGTTCCGCTAAATGGCAGGTGCCAACACCTTCCAGAGGGTTCAGTGTACTAACTGTGCTCCTGTAGGGTGGGAATCCAGCAACCGGGTGGTGCCGGAGACCCGGGCTCAGGAGGCGCTGATTGCGCAGAAGTGTGGATTGTGCGCAAACCTCTCTGTCCGAGCCTCTACAGGGCTCGGGAATTGGGGCTTTGTTTGTTCTAACCAGCCCCAGGAAAGCGCCTGTCTTTCCTGGATGCGGCGGGAGAAGCAACTACAAAGACAGCAGTTCTCCAACTGTGCGTCTTCCTCCTCAGCTAGACGCTAGGTAGCCGGTCCCTTAACTCAGAGCGCTGGGAGGCGGCCATTTGTTTAAAGAGCCCAGGAACCTTCGTCCCCCATTTCCGCAGCACTTGCAGCTCCGGCAGGAATCTAGGCTTCCGGATTCTCGGGATCCTTTCCTCTCCCACACGTCAGCGAGTTCAGGTGGCCGTGAGCTCCCCGATTGGGGCTCAGTCCGGCCAATATTATCACTCTAACGTGCACTCGCGCCTTCCCTCGGCTCTACAGGGCATCGCAGCCACCGATCCCAGCCCCTCCCGGGCCTATCCCAGCCGCCCGGTCGCCCTCCAGTCTGCAGAGCCGGGCCTGCCCTGACAGCTGCAGCTGTTCTCTTCCCGAAGCCTCAGCGCTCAAGGGCGTGGTTGCGGTAGAGACCTCGGATCCCACTCAGCCTGTGCGGACCCTACTGCGCCAACCCCTCGTCTTAGGCCCGAGAGACCCGACAGCCAGGTGGGGGTGGTCTAGGGAGACTGGTCGACAACGCAAGTCAGTTCGGACTGGGAGGGCCAGCTGCCCACAGCAAGGTCTCGGGAGGCCTCTGGAGCAGCGTAATAAAATATTATTGCTGGCGAGCGTATCTGGAGGGATCCCGGACGGTTTAGGCAAGATTTGAAGAATGCTGCTAAATGTTTGCCCTTGGGGGGTAGAAGGGAAGAGGGAGGGGGCTCCACATCCTGTAAAAATCTCCTCTGAAGTGAATCATTGCTCAGAATACCTTTCCCTGCAGCACGAATCCACTTTATGCACACACCATGTGCATCGGCTGCGCATCCTTAAATTATTTCATCGCTTTGGCGTTTGCGCAAAACCTACTTTAGTAAACAATTTGGGCCAGGATGGGAGTTTGGGGGGCGGCGACGAACGGCTGGGCAGGGTAGGGGCAGAGACGTTTGGCTAAAACAGCAACTTTAAATCGAGCAGATGTGAGCTTCCCCGTTAACTATATTGTGAGCTCCTCCGTTAATGTATTTCCAAACAGAGGTGCTTCTGGTTCCAAGTGGAGAAAATTTGGAGGAAACAATCAGAGTGGATCAGGATTTTCGAGGATGAAAACTCGACTAAGATGGAGTCACTATCGCTCCTCCTCCTTACCCTCCCCCTGAGCCCAGACCAGGAAGGCGGGAGGGATGGAGGCGCTCAGGAGAGTGCACCGGGGGCGCTCTCTGCACGAGGGAAAGGGGTGCTCGACCTGAGCACCTGGAAAGAGATTTCTGAAAATCTTTTGTAGTTCTTTTCCAGAAAATGAGAGACGAATTGGGGGGAGAGGGAGGGTGGCGAGCACTAATGTCTCTGCGTTGCCTCCGCCAGGCGAGAAGCCCTTCAGATGCGAGTTCGAGGGCTGTGAGCGGCGCTTCGCCAACAGCAGCGACCGCAAGAAGCATTCGCACGTGCACACTAGCGACAAGCCATACACGTGCAAGGTGCGGGGCTGCGACAAGTGCTACACGCACCCCAGCTCGCTGCGTAAGCACATGAAGGTGCACGGGCGCTCGCCGCCGCCCAGCTCTGGCTATGATTCGGCTACACCGTCTGCCCTCGTGTCGCCCTCGTCAGACTGCGGCCACGAGTCCCAGGTGGCCTCCTCGGCGGCGGTGGCGGCGCGTAGTGCCGACTTGAGCGAATGGTATGTGTGTCAGGGCTTGGGCCCCACCGCGGCTGCCCCCGCCGCGATCCTCAGCCAAGAGCTACCACCTGGCCCTGCTGCTGCCGCCGCCGCCTCCGGTATTAGGGCTGCCTCTGTGGTTGCTGCTTCCGCACACACCGGATGCAGAGTAGGCCACGTTTCTGAGGCATGAAGAGGGAGAGGGCGGAAGGAAGGAAGGCAGGCCGGCCACCTGTAATAGTTGCTAGAGCTCACTGAATACGCTAATATAATGTCCATTATTTTAAAAGATAAATATGGTCCCCCTATTTATTCTATAGTCACACTCAGCACCATCACCCCTACACGCGCCTTCATGATTATCATAAAGCCAGTGTTAGGGGTGAAAAGAGACAGGGAGATGGAAAAAAAATTGGAGAATTTAGGTGCAATCCTGGCCACTTCAGATGACAAAAGTAAAGCCACAAATTTCCCGCATGCTTCGCAGGATGGGAAATATTTTTCTCGAGAACTGGGCCGCTCCCACCCCTACTCTAATACTTCCCTCCCCCACATTAATTCCAACCTCAGAAGTTCAGATCGACAGAAGGCGGCAAAGGGAATTCCAGAGCCGTTTTCTTGACTCCAGTTTCTTTCCTCGTTGCCTTCCTGTGGTTTCCCCTTCCCTAGGTATCCTTTGCAACAAAGTATACACAAGTCTTAATTTTTCCGACCTCCTCTATAAAGGAGATAAGGGAGATTCATCGTCTTTTCAGCAGGGGGTGTGTGGGTGGTGGTTACACGCTGCCACCCGTATGTAGTGGCCTGAGCACACAGATAAATATCTGCCTGTTGTCCACAGACTCGATATACATTGTATACTTGGGGTGGCGAGTCAATTCAAAACAACAAGAAACACAGACAAAGGAACGCCAGAGAGGCTTCAGGATTCAATGCTGTGAGGCCTCCCCGGGCCCTTTTCCCAGCCCAGCCCCTGTAGAGGCGTTGCCTGTGAAGTCTTCTAGGTTCTTGGGCTCCGGGTGTAGAGCGAGCTGATGACGTCACGGAGTCGAGGCCTCTAAAGTGGAGGGACCTGACCTAGGTGGCCGTGTCTGGGTGAATCGCGTCAATTCGGTGACGGTCTTTGTCAGTAATTGCACAATGTTGGTTTTATTTTTTTTAAAGTGTAGGAGAGACTAGAGAAATGATCAACAATAATAAATATTGTAAAGGCAAACAACCAGTGAGTCTAGATGGAATGTGTATTTGATATGCTGCGTATGAAGTCTCCAGAAAAAAAGAACCAGATGTTGAAGGAGGGGGCGAGAAAGACCTTTGCAATTGTTGCCAAAGGGAAAAAACTCAGGTCCTGTTTCCCCCCCTTCCCCCCCTCTGCAGGGAGAATAGGGCTGACCCAAAATCCTAGCTACGATTTGAAGAAGAAGTAAAAGAAAATAAAATAGTAAAGCTATGGCAGATTCATCCCAGTTCCCTAAGAAAATCAGTGTGTGTGTTGGGGAGGGAGGTGGGTTTTCTCTTTGGGGAGGGCCCCACAAAAGAGCTCAATTTTAAAATCTGAGCCCAACAAACAAGTCCTGGCCCTGCCACTAATGAATTTTCTTCTGCTCTCTCCTCTTCAGACACCATTAGACAATTAGCACTCCTGCTCGCAGTCCCCACAACTTTCATCAGATGAAATAATGTCCTAACTGGAGTGGAACTATTTTCCTGACTCCAAATAAAAAATGCCATCTTCCAAATACACCCTTAGTGAATCCGTCCTTGAGAAAGGGGGACTGAAATTCCTGCCTCCCCCTAATGCAATAAGGCCCAGAGGCTGCCTGACCCAGCGCGGGCAGTCGGCAACAAACAACTCTTTCCCATAGTCAAACGCCAACCCCACCACGGAGGTGCAGAGGGCATTTGCGGAACTTATTGCTTCTGCCTATGTTTAAAAAGTCCCCCTTCCTGAAGTAGGACTCTTTCCTTTCTCCTCTGTTTCTAAGCCCCTCCCCCCCATTTTGCCTTCTATCCTAATCTAAAATAATGAAATAAAACAAAAATGTTTGGTCGGCCACTAATCGCCTTTAATTTTTCATTTGCTTGTTACAGATGTCCATCGCGTTGCTCGCAAGGTAATCTCGCTCCGCGCAGCTGAGCGCCCCGCATCTTGCGCCTGCTACATCAAAGGGCCCGCGCACAAAGCAGTGTTTCTTCGCCACGGTGCATCTTCATGGTAAGTTAGGATTTCTATGGCAATGGGCAAGTCGCACTGAAATCCTGAAAGGCCAAGCCTGGAGCCCGTCCAGGCTTTTCATTAAGGACATAATATTTACGTCTAACAGACCTTTTTTCTTGTGTATACAAGTATATATTTTTGTTTGACGCGGACTAAATCATTTTCATTTAATTTCCGGTAAACAAAACCCACGCGAATGGGCACTTGTACCCGATCATAATAAAAATGGATAATAACGTGAAGGAAGAAAAGAGCCGCTTGAATCGCCGCTCAGCCCCCTTTGTTTCTGCTTTCTGCGGTGATCAGAGGGCGCATTTGGGTTTGATGGCGAGTTTCTAAAGGCGAGGAAATGGTTTGTAAGAGGGGAAAGAAAAGGAGAAAGGTCTAATCAAGCTTGGGTTGTTCAAAGAGTCGGGTTTTGGGGTTGAAAGTGTGAGTTTGACGGTGCATCAGCATGCCGCGTTAGGCTCGCCATGGAAATACGCGCGGGGAGCGGCCGCTTCAAAGGCGGCACACTTCACTACAGACACTCTATTAAGATACATTTGCGCTGACCTTTGCTTTCACGCCATTTAATACTGTCACTGCGCTCTCCAGTATATACTTCCTTCCTAGAACCCGACTTGCCCGCGTTTAGGGGTTCACCCTGCACCCGGATGTGGGAGGCTTTGGAGCAGGGGACACTTTCAGGAAAGGGAGGAGCACAAGGACTCTGTGCATCTTGACTGCGCACCAAAGAGCTCCAGGATCAGGAGTGAAAGATTTTAAAGCAGCCTCCAAACTTAACAAATGAGCATTCCAAACTCAGTTTTGTGCAAATCGCCTTTCTGACTCTTGAGTAGGATGGAGGCTTAAGTTTAATGGGGACTTGTGGGGAAGGGAGCCACCCTGGGGGAGTCTGAGGAGTTCAGTCTGTGCCCTTGGGACATTTCCACTCTGGCTTTCCTTACCACTCTTCTTCCTCTCCATCCCATAAGTTTCTTGCGGCCCCTCAAACTTGTTTCTTTCTAAGGCAGGGTGTGTGGTACCGTTAGGCCTGGACTTGTCCTAGATGCAAACTCAAGAGCCCAAGGCCAAGGGGATATGGGGAAGATGGCAGGAAAGTTAGAAGTCCATGTTCCCTTAATTGTCTTGTTGTTTATTTTATCCAAGTACCCCAGTGAATAGGGGAAAAATAAACACAGTGAAAAAAAAAAATCAAACAGTGGAGTCTTCTTTAGTGCCAGTCCTTGTGGTTGAATAAAAAGGATGGTCCGCTTTCTATTGAGCTGAGAAATCTTTGAAGTGGGAGTTATTATCTGAGACATTCCTGCTTGTCGTCCTAACAACGCTGATGAAACGTAAAAGGTTCTTTGTCAGCGATTTGTTCTCCTCTCTGTCAAACTCCCTCTGCCCCGTTAATTTCAAACCGTTTCTAAAGAGATAAAAATCAAACTTCTTTTAAAAAAATATCCACACACTGCACCAATACATAACTTTAGGACTAAGTCTTGCTAAGGGATAAACAAAAGCAATGCCTGGACATCAGGGTCAGGGCCTGGCCTGGTGAAGTATGCAGAAGTTGGGGGACCCTCGGGACAAGCTTTGGGACATGAGGAAAAGTATGCAGAGAGGGTCCAAGCAGAATACATACCCTAAGTCCATAATTGTATGTCTGCTTTCTTCTGCTCTGACTTGCACTCAATCAGCCCAAGTTGGTTCACCTGGATGGGTTCCTTTGGGTACCCCTCAAGCTGCTAATATTCTTGCCCAGGATCCTTGGAACTTAAGATTGCAGCCAAGCAATTGCTAATATCTCCTGCTCCTTCAAAGCCACCTCTGCTAAAAATAGACCCATTGTGTATTTCTTCTCACTAGCAGCAATCAACAAGCCCTTTCTGCCATTAATAAGAAGGAGAATAGCTGAAGGAGAGAGATGTTTTATTAATTTCCTGTTTCCTTCAGAATCTTGGCAGTTGAAGCTTAGAAGATTTGGTCTACAACATAGTAATCGAAAATGCATGCAAATGCCCATCCTTCCCCTCATTCACATGTGCAGTTGTTCATTTTATATTGTGCCCAGGAAAGAAACTTTCACCCAGTTCAGGTTTCCCCAAAACTCCTGTTGTGGTTTTAAAGGTGGTTTAAATAAATAAGGATGTGCTGGTCCCGCTACACTGTGTGTGCTGAATAAATGACTTGTAAAGTTCTTCCGAGCTGTAACCCATGCTGTTATTATAGTTGCTGCAAAATGTTGTTTCTGATATTGATTTTATTTGTTAACTGGAGGTCTCCATATGTTTGTTTATATTGCTAATTTATGAGAAAATGTAATAATCGCAATGAATGTGAATTATACAGACAGGCAAACATTTTGTAATCATAATTCACATATACACAAAAGCCTGGCTGAAACCTTAGACTGTTTGTACCCTCTCTACCCACACTGTTTGTGATTTATCATCTGTCTCCTTAGTGTCAGTTAAATTATGAACTAACTTGAAAATAAAAAGTTGTTTGACTGAAAGTGATTGTTGAATGAACAACAAAGTTGAAAGCCATGGCTTGATCTTGTAAATATGTAAATGTAAATGATATTAAATCTGTGATTCCTTTTCCCTCCAAAGGCCTTTGTGTACATGGCACTCCATTTGGCTATTTTCTTTGGAAATAAATGATGTGATGTTTCCCTTCCTCTTTTGAATCCTGGTGTCCTGTTATTGTTTCTTCATCTTGGGAGAGATTTGAGGCCCTCCAGAAGCCTCTAATTCTCTCCTCAGTCTTTCTTCACTGATTCACACAAGTATCTCTGGGGGCCTAGTCTCAGGACAGCAAAAAGGAGGGACTCCCTAAAGAAGCCATTATGAGAAAGACTTCTCTCATCACAATTTCACCCTAATGACACTGACATCATCAACCAATTTATTAATACATTATAGAATGGAAAAAGTTGGAAGGATGCTCTCAGTGTCTGCCAGGAAAGGCTACCTTTCTGCATTTCCAGCTCAGAGCAACATCTAATAAACCACGTCTGAATTCCCAGAGAAAAGTCCAATAGCTGGTGGGAATGAAAATAAGGAAAGAAAAAGACAGGACAGTTCGGCTCTAAGACCTGACTAAGCGCTGGTGGAGTGTCTCAGGCAGTTGCCCGCAGAGATCTTCCTAGCTGGACTCTGCCCCATCTAGGAGAAGTGATTGCTCAGACCTCAAGGCTCCCTTCAGATACCTGCGAAGGTCTCTATGCCTGAAGACTGGGGGGCTACAGCCCACATGACACTTTCCTGGGCCGCGATTGACATATCTGGTGAGTTTCAGCATCTGATACACGGCACTGTTACCTGGCCCAGCCACTGGGAAACTTATTTCAAATGTATCACCAGAGCCATTTTCCTTCCTCCACTGTGTGACCACTGGACCTCTAGATACCCGCATACCTTGTTGCCCCTGCACCTACCGCTCAGGAGGCTTTCGCCTGACACTTTTTTAACTCCTGAGAAGTTGGTTCCCGTGGGCTTGGTTGGGGCAAGGGGCTGGATGGAGTGGGAAGACAACGACTCCTGGGGTGGGAATGCTGGGTCTCCTTAGAGGACACCTTGTAGACGCAATTCGTAGGGCAAGGGCTGCAGTCCTGGGTAAAACATTGGGAGAAAGGACCCCAGCGTGCAAAGGTGCGAGAGAGATGCACGGGTGTGATAAAGGCGGCCACGAGGGGAAACCAAGACGTGTCCCAGTCAATGGGATCCCTGAGAAAGGAGGTCCATGGGCGTTAACACTGGAGTTAGCGCCCCCTCCCGTTCCTTTCGCGGAAGGGCCCCCTTCCTCCGTCTCAGGGACGGATTAGAGGGGCCTCTCCTCAACCCGGCCTCTTTGAGAAAGAGCACTCATTAAAGCCCTTTAACCGACTGAGCATTGTGATGAGGAGCAAGTGGGGATTAGGGATGAACTCGGGACTTCCAGTCAAGGCTTCTCTGGGGCTCAGAGCTCTCTGCTCAATCCTGCTGCCTGGAGTCTTCACAGCTGTTCCTGCCCATGGCTCCAGAGAGGATCCCAGCTCTTCTACCCACACCTTCCCATTCCTCCCAGGAAAGCCTTGCATGAGAGGGCACTCAGGAATTGAGGTCCGAATCATTCCCTAGAATGCAGAGAAAAGACAGGGTGCCCAGGAGGCTCCGCTGTCCTTGACATTCCGTGAAAGGGTTTTGGAGAAAGAAAGGCCTGTCTTCAAAACTTCCAAGTTCGAACTGTGAGGCAGTAGAAGAGGAAAGAGAAAGTGCTCTTAGACACCTCAGTGCCCCAGACACTAGGAGAGCTGAGATTTCCTTTGAGTCATTATTGTTTGGCAAAGTTGAATAGTGTAACCTTTGATAGAGGGTTGAATTTACTGGTCCCCAAGTGCCCTTGGCTAGCCTCACCCTAGAATTATCTCACTTGCTCTCTGGGGAAGTTACCCACCTCCCACCCTGAACTGACAATGCTCAGAGAAGCTTGGGTGCGCTTTAGTCATCTAATGATCTCTCCACCTCATCCTGCTCTCTTCATCGCTATTCCTCATTAGAGCACCAGGTAGAAACTGTGCTGGCCTGGTGAAAAGATCTTGGATAAGAGGAGGCAGTTTGCCCACTTGTCCACCTACTGGCCCTGTGCCCCTGGATAAATGATGAAACCTCTCTGTGCTTTAGTTTCTTCATTTGTAAAATGAAATTAAAATGAACCTCCTTTGCAAGCTTGTTTTGAGTGTTAAATAAGATAATCCTTTAAACATTTAGAATATACTTGCTAGTGCTAGTTGTTATTACTATTACTTATCTTGGGATTCTGTCTTTCAGAAACATTCCCCTAGCTCCTCATTGAATCAGGTGAATATTTTCGGTCCCTAGCAGAAATGGTGGTGCCCTCAGGGACCCTAAACTCCATAGCAGTGTGCACCTCCTTCAGGCAGTCGGAAGGATAACTGAGAGCCCCAATGTCACTTTGTTTTCTGAAATCAACTCTCTGAGAAGTTTATTCTCTGAGAGTTCCAGAGCCCAGGGCACCTAGGCACTGAGGCAAAAATGTAAATTAGTTTTTAAAGATACAAGAAAAGTTAGAAAGAATTGAGTTTATTTTAGAGAGGAACAAAGCTGAAGAAACCAATTGCCTTAATGTCACCTCTATGACTTGTTAAGACTGGCATTGCAGTAGACACAATGGTTCAGTCTGCCTTGTGTCAATTTATCTTATCATAAGCCTGTGCGGTTTGGGTTTTTCAAGTCTTGGATGTGTAAGGTGGGAAAATGTGAGTTGAGAGAGGGGACAGGCAGCTAGGGGTCTGAGGACAGGGTGTTTGGGCAAAAGTCACACAAAAGTACTTTTTTCCCAAGAAGGCATCGGGACCTTTTTCACAATCATGATTTTTTTCTTACTAAATCCTCATTTCAGAAAAATTAATAACATCTTGATCAACAAGTGACTGAAGACCCCCAAATTACATACTTTACCAACTTCATTTCTACGAATCAGGATAGGTTTGCCTTTTCACCCAAATATCTCCAATGAGAAAAACAAGCGGGAGTTTCCTAGAAATGTTTTGGGGCTCAGAACCCAAAGTCCTTCAGGAAAAACAGAAATTCAGTAGACACTTTGGGGAGGTCTTGAGTTTTGTCCCTGAATTGTCCAAACTGTCTAGTGGCTTTGCAAACATCCAAAGCAACTGCGTGGGTAAGAAGAGAACGAAAAAATACCTTAGGGCATGGGTACAGGTCCATCTAGTGTAAATGTGACCATGAGGATACACTTTGAAACTTGTCCTGCCTTCTTTTTTTCTTTTTTTCCCTCATTTAGAGCCAGTGTAGACTACGTGAGCCAAAATGCAGGGCAAAGCAAGGTGAGCAAGGCTGTACGTGATCTTGAATCCGAACAGCCTTGGGAAATGTCTGCAGAGAGAATAAAGCAAAATTAGAGAATTATCTATCATAGCTGTGACATGTAGTTGTAGAATTGCAAAAATAAGAAAAAATAATCCACCAATAACATTAGATGATGTATATAGGCCATCAGAAGGATGATTTAGTTTTCCCTTGTCTATGACTGAAGGCTAGCCCATGCAAGACCAGATTAGCCACATGAGAATAGTATTCTTTGCCAAAACTAAGGAGAAACTGCAGACACCTCAAGGTCCTTGCTTTGTGTCATTGCAAGGTCTTACTTAGGGTTTAACAGAGGCCTCTAGCTTTTGAACCGATTAATGTATTCATTAATCCTCTAAAGAGTACACCCAGCATCTTGGTGAAAAACCTTTTTCCTGAAATGTTCATATTTCTAAGCCATGAAAAATAGGCATCTGCCCCCAAAATATTTGCTTATTTATTTCCTCTGAGAGAATTGAGTTGCCTGATGTACATAAGCAGTTCCTCATCACACTTTAGCCACTTTCACCTGAGAAAATAGTTTCAAACATACCGCAAATTTTTCCCTACATTTCCTGCCACTGCATTTAGTAAAAAATTTATAGTGAAATGTTTTCTATTGCCCCCAAGGCTGGAAAACTTTCTTTTGTAAAAATAAATAAATAAATAAAAACCTGTTGTAGAAAAACAGCCTTTTTAAAAATGTGAAATATCATTTCATTGTAAAAAGTAAAAAAAAAAAAAAAAAAAAAGGAGTGGTAATCCAACTTCCGGAAACTGTTGTGAATTATTTCACCAGACCCTTTTAAAAGGGGATTAGCAGGGCTTTGGGAGCAAAATCCTTCTGTTTTATTCAATCTCTGATTTTATGTTATAATTACAAGCTGTAAAGACTCTGGAATTAGTATGCAGGCACTGTCAGGACCGATGCAGGTGCTATTCTAATGGTTCAGCTTTTTAATTAAGAAAAGAGGTAAGAAAATCGAATCATAAAAACACTTTTGTGAGAGCTGAGAACATTGCAGCAACTGCATGAATAAAGCCTTTATACCTTCCCCTGACAGGTCAGCTACTGAGGCTCTGACTTACGACCTTTTCAGGGCCAGACAATAGTTAACAGCTTTCTCACCTTGTCCCCACAGAACCTTTTCTTCTAGGACGGATCTTATGGAAATTGCCTTAAGTAGCTTCACTTTCACAAAAGATATTGCAGTTAGAATGGATAGAATGGATACATATCCATATTGAAATGCCTGCTCTTCAGTCCCAACTACAGATCTCTTGTTCTCTGGATCTCTTCTCATGGGTGGGGGAGGGTGGTGTCTAGGAGGCACAGAAAGTAGATGACGGAATAAAATCTGCCCTGAAATAGGCATACAGGGGCACACAGAACCAAGGCCAAAATGAACACCCCCACCCCTCCACTCCTGAGAAAACAAAACAGAAAAAACTCAAAACAACAACAGCAAAAACAAGTTTAAAAAAACACCCGAGTCATGGGATGCAGGCTGTTCTGGGCTTTTCTGAAGTGGACTCTTCTTGTAGGAAATAAATTTGGCCTGAACACTCCATAGTGGCTTTGGAGGCAGCCAAACCCAATGGGGGTGGCTTAGTCCTTTGTAAGTTTTTCAGCTCCTTAGTTACCCTTAAGTGTTCTTCACCTGTGAGTAAAATTGTTCTTACAATACTTCAAGGCAAGTTCCCCAGCTGTTCCACCGTAGTGAAGCTGGAGCTGCCTCAGCCTTGGAACACTTGACTGTGTTCGACCTGTGGAGGCCCTGGAGCCCCCACTATTCTCCTATCTCCGGCTTTGCC